CAAAAATCAATCTTTTTACCATTTTTAATTTATTTAATGCTGACTTGAGTATTGTGTACATAATAAATTATGAAAAATATAACAAACATGAACTGCAGAGAATCTTTCATGTTGTTTTATTTGCCCAGTGTTTCAGCTTTATGCCTTCATCAGGAGCATACAATTTATGTAATGTATGATATCACTCAAATTAAAACCACTGTATTCCAAGAATTACAAGAGTACCTCATGCTTGTGACCATTGCTATTACTGTAAAGCCTGTGGCATGTATGTAAACAATTTCTCTATTTTTATATAAAGAAAGAATATCTGACCTAGTGAAGCCTAAATGGAGAAATATCATAAAGTTAGAGTAAATAATCTTTAAGCAATTATCTACAATAAATTTAGTTAAATTGAACAGTGAAGCCATTGGTTATATTTGTTCATTGTTGGATTATATTTTACTTTAAGAAGTAATTCTGTAATTTTCAAACCTAAGAAATTGTCAAATCTTGGGAAGAATTTTAAGTGTTATTGGCAGTCTGTCTTTGGTATACCATGATTTAAGATATAGCATTCAGCCACTGCACTTTTTTCCACCTCTGCTTTATGTTCTGAAGGTGTTTGTTGATACGTACCTCGGAGGGTCTCTCAGTCTCCACAGTGTAGATGGTCTTACATTTTATGCCTTCTTGTTGGTATGTGGTATTCTTTGTTAAACACTTTCCACTCATATATGAGTAGTTAACAAAACAGTATCTGTTTTTGCATTGTGTATTGCACATGAAAACAGATCTAGAAAGAAACCACACATGGTTTCTGTATAATTCTGACTTGAAGACTGGACATTTCCACAACTTTGCATAAGTGCTTGGCCAGTCCATTGCAGATATATGGTATCATCTGAGTAGCTGGAAAATTCTTTTATCCTGTGGTTTTGTTTTTCTTTTCATCTGTTAAGTATTTTTCTTTTTGCTACATCTTTCTTATTTTTTATTCCAATCATTGACAATATTTATCTATGTATTTGAGTAGCCATTTTATAGAAAAATTTATCTAAAGTTTTTTTCATACTGTGTTTTATGTCCAAGCTTGTTCTGTTTGTTCTACATAGCTGTCCCATAATCACTCCTTTCCTTACAAAGAGAAGGCTGTGCCACTCAAAATGTGGAATTATTAATTTATTATGATTTTACCTGTGTATACTATGTGTGTTTTTCCATCTTTCAATGGTATGTTCAAGGTAGCAAATGTGGGCATATCATTTGAGATTTAACTTTCTCATTACAAAGTCGATCAAATTGACCGACCTTGTAATCACTTTGTACTCATTATAGTTTCCATACTGTAACATTTAAAACAGTATGTGTATCTTCACACAATTTGGCAGACATTACAAGTCTTTTTTTTTTTACACAAAAAATCAGATTTTTTAATGAAGTATTTTGACTAAAGATTAGTCTGTGAATATAAATAGTCTTTTTTCTTTCTTTTTCTTTTTACTATTTCAAGTGTAAAGTGATTTCTACATTAAGATTAAAAATACTTTTCTGCATCTCAAAAGTCTCAAATTTCATTTGCATATTCTCTAAAACCTAAATGTATTTCAAACATTCTTTTTACAGTAAAACTTTATATTTTATCTGTTATTTTGTCTACCCTACCTCTATACTAATTTGGACAGTTTGACCAACATTGGAACCACCAAAACAAATGGAAATAAGTCTCTTTATTACCCTTTTTCTTTCTTTCTAGAATGACTTCAAATTGTAACATGAAACTACAGTTGCTTATCCTAAGCAGCTTTAAACTCATAACAGTATATATCTATTTATACTTAAATTTTATTGTTTTATTGCCCTTTGTTCCACGTCTAAGTACTATTCACACCATTATAAGATGTAAATCACTTGGGTAATGTGAAGCTCACGTTACCCTATCAAATTACGTTATGCATGAGCTGCTCGCATGCATACCTCCTGGAACCATTTTTGTTGTTATTATTTATCTTAATTAATCTAACCTAAAGTTTTCTGTTTTTACATTTTAGTTACTTTTATAATAATAAATAAAGAATACACATGAAAAACAAGAAATAAAGTACGTACCTGGGTTTTGCTGTTGACTGTTAATCCTACTTTTTTATATTAATGGTAGTAGTGCACTAAATAATTTTCATTTAATGTAATAATGCTCCAAAGAACACAGAATTATTACATGAAAAAAGGAGAATATACCCCATAACTATCACAATTATTCTGGCTTTCTAACTGTGTGACAAGAGTTGTTACAAATTCATCCAAGCTAGATGATGTGTTTGCCATGAGAATAAAGTTTGTTCTAAAAGAGAAATTCTCAATTTTCTTTACAGAAAACAAAGTAATATAATATGTTATTTGATAAATGAAAACCTTGGTTTTTGTTGGTTATAAATAATACAGTATTAAATGTCAGAGATAACTATTGACAATCTGAAAAAAAGGTGAGCTTGGCAAGAGAGGTCTTATATTCTATTTGATGGCTCTGTAACCAAATAAGATTGAAGGCTATAAATTTTATGCTTTGCATGAGCACTGACAACATTATAAGGAGTATTTACAATTGATTTCATACTTCTTGGTAGGGTGTTAAATAAATTATACAAGAGGGGATGCCTAGAGAAAAAATGTCACACTTCTCACACTAGGGGAAATTTAGGATTTTTTTTATATTGTCATACAAATTAAGAACTTAAAACTTATGTACTACTAAAATAATAATTATCAGTTACGTTTTTATGCTATGCTTATTGGTATAGCATTAATAAAAAGTAATTAATTAATTTCTGAATGTAACTCACTAAAAATCTTGTGACGTGCAGAAAAAGATTCCCCTGGCAAGAGGGTTAAGAGTGAAGTTGGTTTTCATGGGGCCTGTTATGGAGGTGGTTGTGTAAATCAGTAATGTGTTCCATTCTGTAGTTACAAATACCAAATACATAATCTATGTAGCAATAACAGACTTTCAGACCAAAGCTAGTTTTTTGTTTCCAGGCAGATAGGGCTCCTTTTTTCCAAGAAAATCCATGAAAACAACAGAAAAAAACTGTTCCAATCTTATTATCCATGTCAGTACGTTGGACTTGTTGGTAAATATCAGCTCCAAAACAGATAACTTATTCAGAATACAGCAAAGGGCCATTTCCATTAAATCAATTGATAATAACAGAAGGTCTGTGGTTGAGCAAATCAAACATTCAGCAAATAAAACAATTTGAATGATTCTCTGGAGTTCATGGTTGTTTTATTTATTCATAATATAAAAATCTGAATATTCAAAAGTTTAGTTCAAATATCTAATTCATTCTCTGACCCTGTAACCTACAACTGCAGCAAACCAGATGACAGATAATGGTCATCATTTGTGTTGTGTATGATGGTCTGCCTTGTTTAGGTGCCCAAAGAATTGTACCATTTGTTTGAAAGTAGTTCCACATCCTACTAATGACATTTTGAGACAACTTTGTCATTTGGTAGACTTCTGTTTCTCTTGTTGCTTTACCTTATATTGAGTTGTTATATTGAGCTTGTGTGAGTTCTGATTACAGTTCTTTAATGTCAAACATCAAACCAGAAACTTAAGAATTAAAACATTGGTCTCTTGAATTTACAAATACAAGATGTAATCTTCTTTATATTATTTTTTAAACAATTCTTGAGGCCATTATTAGATTTTTGAAAATTAATTTTATGTATTTTGATATTTTCGTTTGAAGTAGCTGTTTGCTTAACAGTTTATTGCAGTATTTGTCAATAAAATTTTATTGGAATCAGTTCAAATGATAAATGCTGTTTTCAAAGTAGAAATATTTTTAGTACTTCCTCACTTCTTGTTTTGATTCTATTTTTGACAACAGTTTAGATTAAGTGAAAATTTTCTACTGATCATTCTTTTAAAAAAATTGCCTTAGCTGCTAAAAAGATGATGGAGGCTTGTTGATGTTACTACCATTCCTACTGAAACAACACAAAACCTGGAAGAATTGCAAGCTACGAATCTTCACTGTTGCTCGTATCCTTAATACTGAATATTATGTACATACTTTCAGAAATGTTTTCTGATATCTTGGATAATGATGTTTTATAACCATCTATGTAATGATGTTGCTCTTTAGTTATTATTTTTATTTTATTCTGTATCTGTAAGGTAATTTTTTGCGTGCATTTTTTTGATAAATACATTTTTGTATATAGGAGATGAGTGCTTTTTTTAATACTTTTTTGTGTTGGTTAAACCTTATATAACTTGTCCTGAAGGATCAAACTTATTAGAACAGCATACCAGAGGAGGGGAAGAGCATTGTGTTTGAAATTTCGAATCTCATTTTAATAATGGATTGACTCCTACTTTGAGCATTTAGGATAGCCTGTACTATGTTTCTAATAATTGTCACCTGTCTTTAACACTTTACACATGGTCTTGGTTGAATTGACCCCAAGTTCTCAAACATTTTATACTCATTATAGTTTCTATACTATAACTTTTAATACATTACATATATCTTCACCAAGATTTTTGTACACAAAAAATTGTATTTTTTAATTAGGTTTTTTAATAAAGACTTGTCCGTGAATATATCAAGTACTTTTGTTTACTAGTCTAAGTGCAAAGTGATTTTTATGTTAAAGTTAAAAATACTTTTATTTATCTAAAAATTTTCAAATTTCATTTGTTAATTCTAAATCCTCCTGAATAAGTATAAAACGTTGTTTTCAGTAAAACTTTATATTTTATTTATTATTTTCTCTACCCTAACTTTAAACGAGGTTGGTCAGTTAGACCAACTTTGTAATCACCATAAAAAAAATATGAAATCTAAATTGATATTTTTTTCTTTCTAGAATGACTTCAAATTGTAACAAAAGACTAAATTTGTTTATAATAAGTATCTTATCTTATAATAGTATATATCTGTTTATACCTGAATTTTATTGTTTTTTTGTCCTTTGCACCTTGTCTAAACTAATCTTCCTGCCATAAAGTTTGTAAATCACATGGTGAACATGGAGCTTATGTTACCCTATGATGTTGCTGATGAGTGTACCCTGTACAAAATTTTTATTAATATTATTATTATCATTCTTTATTTTACCTAATCTGGCCTTATCTAACCCAAAAGTTTCTACTTTTTACATATTAGTTACTTTTATAATAATAAGTAAAGAATACACATCTAAAACAAGAAATAAAGTACTTACCTGAGTTGTTTTTGCTGTCACCTGTTAATGTTTTGTACTATTGATACTACTGCACTAAGTAATTTTTTTATTTAAGTAAACAGTGCACCAAAGAAACAGGATAATAACATACAAAAAACAGACAATGTTCCATAACTGTCACAATTTTTATGGCTTCCTAACTATGCGACAAAAAAATTATCTATTGAAATGCAAATATACAAAGTACAATTAAGACAATACTAACATTTTAAAAAACTCATTTTCGTATGTTTGGAGAGGATACTGGTTTACCAGTCAGCATCATCTTAATTGCATAGTACTAGTCTAGAATAAGATTAAGTACTATCATTACCATTTTTGACAGATTTGTTAATGTAGTTTTTAGTACATTATAGTATATTAACTTCACCAAAATACTGTTGACAATTTTAAAACTAATTTGGGGGTGGGGGTGGATATTACACTGAACTACCTTTAGATTTATAAATATATAGAAATATAAATTGCTCATTTTCACCTGTTTTGTGTAGAAATTTTATTCTTTAACTGCTTTTAAGAAATGGAAGACAATAGTATCCAGATGAAGAAAGATTTGGCCACTTTTATCTATCATCTTAGGATAGAAGCTGAAGTCGAAGTTGTGGAAATGGTATGTCAGTTTTCATACAAGTTCTGATATATATAGGTTTATATCTTTTCTGCTTCAGCAGATATTTTAAAGTAAAAAAATATGTTTTATTAATTTATGTTGAAAACCAGTTGTTTATTTGGATGTTAGTAGTTGACAAAAAGTAATCAGTTGCTTACTAATTATAATTTTCTTATAATGTACTAAACTCTTATAAAACAAATCTCTACCAAACTTATGTGTCATCTCTATGCAAAAATAACAAAGCAACATAATGAGTTAAAGCTGAATTTTTTTTTTCCATGAGGTAAAGGTGTATTAAAAATTGTGATGTTTTCTATAAGCTTAGGGATAATCATTACAACTTTCAGTAGCTAAAACTATATAGATAAACTTGTAATTTTTAGAATTCAGAATTTTTTTTGTGGAAATGTAATAAGATTCTTATTTGTAAAGAAGGTTATTTTGTATTGATAAATTTGTTTATGCACGATATGTACATGACCTTTCTGCAGTCCTACACAGTACTTTCTTCAAGTCTATTAGTAAGATACAACTTGTATATATATAGATATATATATATAACTCCCTCCATGTCATAAAACAAAGTTAGTTATGCAGTACCACCTTCATGTTTAAAAACTTAGATACCTGGTACTAAGGAAAAGTTATTTATACTTTGTTTCAGGTTTTATAACAATATAAGAAGAGTATCACAGCATTTATTAATAGTTAGCTTACATATAGGAATGTTACTTTTGAATAATCTAATGGTCTTATTCTAATTTTATATATATGTTTATTTAGATGGATAGTGACATATCAGCATATACTTATGAGCGGACTTTGATGATGGAGCAGCGGACTGAGATGATCAAGCAACTGCGTTTGAACAGGAAGGAAACTCTGAATGTGGTAATTGTACAACTTAAAAGCTAATATTGTCATATCTTTTATGGTAATGAATAAATGGACAGTTTTTGTACAAGGCTGTTACCAAAGGAATTCTAGTGTTTTTGGTGTAAAAAATTGATGGTTGTACTAGATGGTTGTCAGTCTGTGTAATTGGTATGTATAATGAGGTAATTACTTTAGATGGCTTCCGAAAATAGTAACAATTGTAATAGATTGTTGACACTTATTTAAACACGTATATCAGGTCATTTACAATAACTAAATAGTTGTAAAAAATTATAGTTATATCTCCAAATGCTAGATACATTTCAGTTATGGTTTGTAACTGTGCTAGAAAAAGTGTAGAGATACTAGTTAGAACAAAAGTAGATATGATGCATGCAGGAGAAGTCACAGAAATAGTAGATCAGCTAGTGTTTCTTTGACCACAAACAAATACATGGTTGTTAGTATACCGTGACCATACTTTAAAGTTCCATGCAAGTTTACACTTAACGTGAAAGGTTTTGCTCAGAATCAGAAATGAATCTGCTTGAAAATTACAGTTAACTTTCTTTGTAGCTACCAATCAAAAAACTGGATAATAAGAATCCAGAAATAAATCTGATCCATGTGACAGTTGTAGAGTAGTTCCATGTGTACGTAGTAAAATAGGGTACAGTACATATATCCTATAAAACATCTATTATTAGTCTCAGCCATGGAAAATAACACCTAGGGATGAATTTATTGCATTTCCTCAGCAGGATTTAGGATTTTTCTAATCAGAGCTTGGGAAAAAAAAATTAATTCAGCAAATATGAAATGTATACTGTAGGGGAGACAGATATGTGGTATATACAGACTACAGTTTCTATAACATATTGATTCCATTAATATATTATAGTACATTTATTCAAACAGTTGTTTTCTCATCACAATAAATGTAGCAAATTAATTTCAGAGCATTTGTGAATTGTATCAGTAATGATGATAATGACTTCAGTTAATTTATTTTAGTTTTTTTAAAGAAGTTTCCATTTGTGACATGACTCTAAGAGGTTGCAATTTTTATTGGGCCTAGCAGGTAATTAATGCATTCATGGTGTTAGAAAAACATCAAGAAGTCTTGATAGAAATGAATAAAAATCCCATAACCCGAACGCTTTCGAATAGTAGACCTTTCTTCTTCAAGGGCAAACTGAAGAAGAAAGGTCCACCTTTTGAAAGTGCTTGGGTTATAGGGTTTTTATTCATTTCTGTCAAGTTAATTAATGCATTCAGACTATGAATTTGAGAGTTCATGATTCATGGCCAGTTGTGTTTTGGGCCCATGAATATACTTTAAGAGTGATGGTCATATCCCACTACTGGTCGACAAGAGTAGCCGAAGCATTTGAAATGAGTGCTGTTGTCTATCTGCCTTCCCTTAATTGTATCATTTCAAAATTATAGATCACTATACATATAGCCTTTGCATAGCTTTGTGCACAAATTCTAAAACAAACAATGTTTTAGCTCTAGTGTAGTACTTGTAACAGATTTCTATCTTTAGATAACTGTATCTTTTAGGTTCAAAATATTGTTGACAGTCACCATCAGCCAGTACGCCAGTCTGGTGTCAAAGTACGATTTAGTGAGCTTCCTCCACATGAATCTGAATTACAAGATGTAACTAATTATAATTCTTCAAAAGAAGATGAAATTTCAAAACGTGATAACAGATCAGCTGGAGGTTTCAGTTCTCTGTCTTCCCCCAGCCATGGAATAAATGAAGACTTGCCTAGCCCAGCTCACTCATCTCCATCTCAAGCAAATCAGCATTATGAAGAAAATAACGAGCAAGTTGCAAATAGTAGTTCATCAGACTCGTTTGACAAGTTACTCTACATTAGACCGTAAGTATCTATAAAACTTTAAGCCTTCTTTATGGATTATCAAATTTTGAAGAGCCAAAACCCTTTATTACACAGTAAATTTCAATTTCATCAATCCTTATCATTTCACAAGTCATATATATCAATCCAAAATTAACCTTAAAATTTCTTTCTAAATTTTATCATGTTTTCTTCAACAATTTTTTCATTGTAAGAGTCTTTATTGCACAAAATAAAACTTTAAAAACACAACTTTAAAATAAAAAAAAATTCTGTGTTCTTAGGTACATTACTTAAGTAAATTAAAATTAGTTAATGTATTAGTACCATTAGTATAAAAAACTCACCTTTAGTCTTTACAAAGTTACCTGTCTTGGCTGTGTTTTAGTGGACTGGTATTTTGTAAAACACAGTCATATTTCAACTATTATACATTATATATGTATAAACATTATTTCTATTTACAAATAAACTCTTAAACTTATTTTTTTTAAAACATGGAACAGTAAATAAATAATTAAAGAAAACAATTATCTGTTCTAGTTATGACCTTTGTACTCATTTGCCGATTGTCGTAGGTTGCTAAGCCTTATGAAATTTCCCACATGGAGGATCTAAAAAGAAAAATTTTTTTTTCATGTTTTATATATACATTTTAAAGAACCAAAAAATCATAAATTACTATATTAATACCATAAATTCCACTATAATTTATCAAGTGTAGTAACTAAGCTGTATTTGGGTCTAAAAAAATATGAAATTTCAAGCTCAGTAAAGACTTACCTCATTGTTTGAAATTTTGTGTGAAAAGAAAAAATTAGCACAATAACACATCGAAATGGCTGAGGAAACCACTAAAGGGACATTCTGAGCTTTTGATTGGCTATTCATGTCATATATAGAAGTGAGTGTATATAAGGGACCATTTCCAAAAATGGAAAGAGGTGAGCTAGGGGCCTCTGTTTGATTCAGTACAGGAGCGATAACTTAGCAAATAGAAAACGTAAGATGTTCTTATTTTATATTCTAGTTTGTCAATATCGGTAGTTTGAGTTCCCAACTCGTAGAATACTGTAGATTTTGTATTTTGACATCTAATTTGAACCAGTACTGCATTCAACATACCACGTGACACACAAAAATCAATGTTTAGCTGGGTTTTTTAATATTTACTTCTACATTAACAAATTAACTAAAGTATAATATTAAAATCTGAATTATAATTTACACTTTGATACCAAACTTATTGACGTAGGTTCATAAAATAGTAGTTTAATAAATCTTTGAATGCAAGTCAACAAACGAGATGACATGGCCTTTGACATGTGACCCATCATGATAGGGTTAAATTTCATTGATAACCGACAGCAAAAAAACAATAGGTCACAGGTGAGTAATATTAGTTTTGTTTTTCATGTATATTCTTTTTTATTATTATAAAAGTAACTAAAATGTAAAAATTAGAAAATTATTAGGTTATATTAGGTAAATAGTGGAAAATAATAATACAAATTTTCACGAGGTATGGTTGCAAACAGCTCGTACATTACGTAATTCAATAAGGTAATGTGCTTCATGTTGGCCGAATGAGTTACAATTTGTGTAGTGGGATTTTTAGTTATATGCATGGGTCAAAGAGCAATGAAATTAAGTATAAATAAATGTATAGTGTTATGAGCTTTAAGCTATTTAGGATAAACAACTGTGGTTTCCCTTTACAATTTGTAGTCATTCTAGAAAGAAAAAAGGGTAATTTAGATTTATTTCCTACTTTTTCATGATGGTTATGAGGTTAGTCAAATTGACTGTATGGGTATAGAGTTAGTGTATAGATAAAATTTAAAGTTTTACTGAAAAAAAAAAATATTTAAGAGGTTTTAGAGAGTAAACAAATGAAATTTGTAAATTTTATTTCTATGCCTGGAAAGTACTTTTAAAATAATAATGGACACAATAGAGTGCTTGAACAATCGTGTTTGTGGAGTAACAGTGTCGTTACCCTCGGGTGAGCTGTTATTTGTCACACTGAATGTTTATATGCCTACCTATTCCGCTGGTAACCTGGATGAATATATTTCTGTACTACAAAAATCACCTGTATATGCCATACAAATGGATATGACAGGATTGTCCTAGGTGGTGACTTTAACACGGACTTCAGCCGATGTAGCTCACCTCACATGTTAGCTTTGGAAAGGTTTCTATAGGACAAGGAGTTATGTCTGACCAGATCATACATTGGTGAACTTGCATCTGATTACACGTTTGAGAATGTGTTTGGTGATAGGTCAAATATTGATCATTTCTTTGTCACTAATAACATGTTGGATTGTCAGCCAAAAGGTGCGATATGTCATGCCGTGGATAATTTTTTGGATCATAGTGTCATTTCCTTTTCTATGGTTGACTCATCCTCAATAGAACGACTTGTTTCTGCACACGTCACTACACCGCATCTGAGATTCAAATGGGACGAGGCTAAACCTGAGTCAATTGAAGTCTATCAGAGTGGACTGAGGAAGCATTTAGATAACGTACAGATACCAAGCGAGATAATTCATTGTAATTAGGTTAACTGTAAATGTCATGACGCATCGATAGACTATCATGATAAGCTGGTTAAAACCTGTATAGACTCTAGTTTGAAATTTATACCACGTGCTTGCAGTTACAAACCTTGGTTGGCTGGTTGGAATGACGAGGTGAAACCCATTCGCAAAAATGTGATCTTCTGGCATTTCATCTGGAATGAAATGGGAAGACAAAGAGTTGGGCTAATTGCCCAGATACGGAGGAGTACTCATGCAGAGTATCATTGTGCGGTAAAACGTGTCAAATCCCGAGCAGGTCAGCTATCATCTCAGAAGATGGCTGATGCACTTGTGAACTGTCAGAACTGTGACTTATGGAAGGAGGTGAAGAAGTGCAACAAAACTTCTAAACCTGTTCCTTCTACTGATGATGGTGCTATCGGCAAAAATTGCCAATGTATTTGCTCGTAAGTATGAGCATCTGTATAACTATGTCTCATAAAAAGAAGAGGATATGGCCACCTTGATACGGGAACTGGATGAGCAAATTTGTCATCACTGCTGCAGTGACCAGTGTTATGACAGCCACTTCATTACGACTGACCTAATTGATAATGCCGTGTCCCGCCTTAACTCCGGTAAGAGAGATGGTGACGGATTATCATCTGCCGACCATATCAAACATGGAAGACTGGTATTACACACGCATCTAACCATTGTGTTTACGGTGATGATGCGTCATAGTTATGTCCCTGGTGATATGTTGGCATCAACCATCATGCCTATTCCAAAAAGTATGAGAAAATTTCTGAGCGACTCAGGTAATTATAGGGCCATTTGAGCTTGTAATATTAGAAATGAATGCTGAGTCACTGGTTACAACCAATCTGCAATTTAGTTTTAAGCAGAAGTCTTCGACTACACAATGTACTTTTGCTGTACAAGAAGTAATTCAGTATTGCTTAAATAATGACACGTCCATGTTTTGCATGCTTTTGGATGCGAGTCAGGCTTTTGACCACCTCCAGTATATTAAACTGTTTAAATGATTACCTGAGAAAGGTTTATGTCCTTTAACATGTAGAGTACTGTTACTTATTCATACAGGACAGGCAGAGCAGCTTTGCTGGGGAGAGATTCTTTCAGGTTTGATATCTGTGTCCAATGGTGTCAAACAAGGTGGAATTATATCACCTGTCCTTTTTTTCAATCTATGCTGATATGTTACTTACTGAGCTACGTAACTGTGGTCAGGGTTGCTACATTGGCAGAACATTTGTAGGAGCGATTGCTTACGCCGATGACATTATCCTTTTAACTCCGTCGAGGACTGGGTTATTGAATATGTTGGAAATTGGCGAACAAATAGGCAAGGACCTTAACATTAAGTTCAATCCAGCGAAATGCCAGTTTTTGAAATTCAGGTGCCCTATTTCAATTAGTAATGATAATGTAGAACAGCCTATATTGTTCTATGGTTCCATTAAGCAAATCAGCTGTACATCTTGGTCATTACATCGACTTTAATTACAGAATAAATTCCATTCAGAAAAGCGTGAATGAATTGTACCAGAGATGTAATTCATTACTATCTGAATTTTCACATTGTTCATATGATGTTTGATACAGTCTGTTTAAAACATATTGTGTTTATTCATATGGATCGAATCTTTGGGATTTTGATCATCAGACAGTCAAAAGTTTTTATTGCACATGGCGGAAATGCATTCGTTGCATTCTCATGGTGCCATATGACACTCACTGTGACTTCTTACCTAGAATTGTGGATGACCATCCCATAGAATTTCAAATGCACAAGCATTTTGTGAACTTTATGAACTCCTGTCGTTCATCTGAAAACGAGCTAGTCAGATTATGCTATAGAATGGCTGTAAATGGCAATAGATCTCCTGCTGGGAATTCCATCAGTCAAATTCGTTGTAAATACAATCTTCACCGGTAATCTTAACCTGAGATTTCTTTGATGTAAAAAGCCCCAGACTGGCCCAAGAGCCAGTGCTATTAGAAACTTTATCCACTTCAGGGAGACATCAGGAGGTGACGACATGGTGGATATAAATATTATTATTTCCCACCTGTGTACATATTAATTATCTGTATAACTACTGATGTCTGTAACTGTATTAATTGTATCTATGAATGGTATGAATAAATATATATATATAAAAGAACAGGAAAACTTAAAACCATTCATTAAAGTTATTATCATCATCAAATAAAAATTTGTATTTTGGTCCACAATCTGGTTTCTCACAATCTATCATCAACTTACTTATTGTTTGAATTGTATGTATTGGAATAATAATAATGTAACTAACATGTCAATTGCTGATTTGTGTTCTTATAATGAAGTATATTAGTACAGAACTAATTTTACTTGCACATTGAGTATATTACTGAACATCTTTTTGAATAATATTGTTGCATCAGCGAGGTCACGTGACTAGTGTCACGCCACCTATTTTATAG